TTCTCTAACTGACCCCTGTGCCATGTATGCACAAACTAGCTAAATATGAAAACAATTTTGAACTAAGATATGAACTGTTAACTAAAAGATGGAGTTTGCGATTTGAGTTAAACCAAGTTCATTCTAAAACCGTTCAGAGGAATTTAATGGAATTCAGGGTCCATAATATCAAATTCACAACGTCCAAGATACAATCCAAAATAACTCAATATATAAAGAATCAGGAATCTGTGATCCATTTCAAGATAAAAAGGCAATCAAGAAAACCAACCCTCAGATAGCCCAAATGCTGAAATTACAAGAAAGAATGATGAAGCAACTTATTATAATTATTTAAGTGAAGTAAAGGAGAATATGCTCACAAGGAAAGAGAAGATACCAAATTTCAGTGAAGAAATAAAAACTATAAAAAGAACCAAATGGAAATTCTGGAATTGAAAAGTAGAATGTCAGAAATTTAAAAATTCACTAATGGGTTTAACAACAAAATGAACTTGGTAAAGAATGAAAGACCTGGAGATAAAATCAAGGGTTTAATATACATGTAATTGGTTTACCAGAAAGAAAGACAGTGAATAATAAAGACAGCAGAAATCAATGAAATATAAAATAGGCAAAATTCTCAACAAAATATGAGCAAACTGGTTTCAACAATACATTTAAAAAATTATATACTGTGGTCCAATGGGATTTATTCCCGGGGCTGCAAAGATAGCTCAACTTCTGCAGATCAATCAGTACGATACACCACATTAACAAAATGAAAGATAAATTCATATGATCATCTCGACAGATACAGAAAAAGCATTTAACAAATTTTGAAACCTATTACTAAAAACCTCTCAACAAATAGTATAAAGGGAACATAGTCAACATAACAAAGGACACACATAAAAAGCTTACAATTAACATCATAATCAATGGTAAAAACCTGAGCTTTTCCTCTAAAATCAGGAACAAGACAAGGATGCCCACTCTCACCACTTTTATTCAACATAATTCTAGAAGTCCTAGTCAGACCAATTAGGCAAGAAAAAATAAAAATAAAAGGTATCCAAATTGGAAAGGAGAAGTAAACTATCTCTATTTTCAATTGACATGTATTATATAGAGAAAATCCTAAAGACTCCAAAAAAACAAAAAACAAAAAAACTTAGAACTAATAAACAAATTCAGTAGAGTTGCAGGACAAAATCAACAAATAAAAGTCAGTTGCATTTCTATACACTGACAATGAATTTTCAGAAGGAGAAGTTAAGAAAACAATCCCATTTACAGTTACATCAAAAACAATGAAATATCTAGCAATGAATTTAGTCAAGGAGGTAAAAAAATATTTATAATCTCCTCCTAGAAAATGTTTTTCTGTGCTTTTACTGCTTTGAGTTTTATAATAGGTTTTATCACAATGTCTAATTGTTTTTCAGTTTACCCCATTTCTGCGATTGAATGGAATACTACTCAAGAGCAAGATGCAAAGCCTATATGTCTTTTCTTTTCCACTTTAGTAAAATGCATTGATTTTCCACACCTGGGAATTTGGGTCTTTGTATGAAAAAATATGTCTTGAACACTTTTAAATGTTTTTCTTCTGAAAAATGTCATAAATTCTTCCAATTGCACATAAATCAAATTGTATCTGGTAGCAAACACAAATTCACTTCTATTTAGTAGGGGCAAGTTTTTCACTTTCTCAGCAGAAATATTTGTGTCTGTGACTTCCAGTTATTTTATCTTTTCATTCACCTTAGCATGATAAATGCATTGTTTCACTGGTATATCCCATATTCAGTTCAATCAGTCAATTTTCAATAAATCAATCAACTAAACAATAAGTATTATATTTATTGGGCTCCTATAATAGACCTAAAAGCACTTACAGAAACTGTGGCATAATACTAGGCTATAGTGGGACAAAGAAGAAATAATGGATCTAGTCGCTGCTACTGAGAAACTAATGAATAAAATTATAATTTAATGTTACATTTTTCTACTAATTTAGTTGTCAAACATTTTTATATAAAGGATTTCACTGGATAGCCACCTCATACTGACCAAGTGATCCATTCAAGTTGTATTTTAGTAACTATTAAACTTAATTTCAGAGTGAATTCAGAGATTTTCCCAAGGTCTCTTTACAATGTTCTTTACATTGTCATACATGAATATATTTATAAGCACAAAGAATACTGCACAGTTGAGGGGTAAATACTATAGAGTATAGGGTTTAGTCAGTGACATATAAACATATATGAAGCACCTGGTAAAGTTTAGACCCAGCTTTAGAAAGAAGGAGCATAAACATAAAAAAAACAACAACAAAAAAAAACAAGGAATGAAGGTAGAAGCTTGTACCCAAGAGCCAAATTGGCTCTCTGTACCACATAAAGTGTTTTAACGATACCACCCTCCAACAACATAGAGCAAAACAGACATTGGTGCATGATTAGATGCTTTTTTCTCTCAGACTTCGGTGCTGGAAAAATCTTCCAATAATGGAAAAGGACTAGAGGCCCTAAGAAAGATGCAGAGGTGAACATATATGTAGTCAATATCCATATATCAGAGCCAATTCTGGTGAAGTCTAGGTTTCCTAAACCTATGGAATGTTCCTATTCATGTTACTTTCTTTTTTTCTGTTCCCTCTATTAATTAAAGTAAAACTTTAAACCAAAGGATCGTGACAGTTATTTGACAAATTTTATTCCACAACCAGTCAGGAAGCTCCAAGGAACTGTGTAGGTCTCCGTACTTCGAAGCCTACAGGATGGAAGACAAGATGAGAGCTAGTGACTGGCCAAGAAATGTGACACAGCCCTGCGAATTTATCAGCAAAAGGTATACCACTTTGTTATCCCCAGTGCCAAAGGGATCTTTCTAAAACACTAATCCAAAGCATCAGTCTCTTTCTTATAACTTGCTGGATTCTATTGCCCACCTTAATGTCTTAAAACTTTTCCTAGAATCACAACATTTTTTCCAAATAAAACATTGTGTGGAGCTCTGAGGCATATAAAACAGACAAAAGCAGAGCCAGGTAGAGGGTTAGGGGTATCAGAGATCTACCTCTTGGAACATGCTCATATGTGTGGCATCTCTGATGCACCCTCCTGAGAACAGAAGGTGACCACCTCAAACCGACAGAGATATTGACTGCTTATCTTAGCATCTGAAGCCCCCACAGTTTGGCTCCAAGCTGCCTTTCCAGTCTTTTCCCTTGTCACCACACTAACAAACAATACAACCCAAGTTCAACCAACTAAACTCTTAGTGGTAGGGCATTCTTAGTACTATTGCAATATACATGCTATATTCTATCTGAAAATTTCTTCTACACAAGAATTTCTTCTGCATCACTAGGATAATTTTTTTCCCAATTCAGCCAAGCAGAAATAACCCCTTCCATTCCCAGGATTCCTCCTTCTACAGGAATTTTACATATACCCCTATAACAGCACTTAACACACTGCATTGTAATTGTGACTCACTTAAATTGACCAATCTTATGGCTGGTCTCAGTATGGTGAGATTGCAAAAGAAACAAAATCCATTGCCAAATGTCTTAAAGAACACTGCACATCTTTACTGCGATTTGCAAAAGACACTGAGGAAGGATCACAGAAATCAGTATCAAAGCTTCCCATTTAGCCATTTTCTTCTTTCCCCCTCTTTTTGTAGTATCTATGTAATGTCCCATACCTATCTTCAAAATCTCTAGCACACACTGCTTTCTTCTTCTTTGTATTATCCCCTCTTTCTTATTGCCCTCTTTTAATTCTTTCTTAGAGATGGTTCAAGCCCTTTCATATGAAGATCAGTTTATTCCATTTAAACTATTTCAAGTTCACGCATTATTCTACTCAGCCCAATACACTATGGATGCAAACCAAAAATCCAGCTTAAGAGGTATGGGAGAGGAAAAATCTGTGAATATTCTGTAATATTTTTGTCTCCTATTTACACGTCAGTCTGTATTCCACAAGACTGTGGGCTCTTTGATCATGTTTTGGTTTTTGTTTCCATGTTGTTGAGATTTTTGATATCATCAATAGTTATTACAATTCTTGAGACAAAGCAGGTATTCAGTAAATTCTATTTGATTGAATAATTGAAATAAGGAATAAATGAATAAAGAGAAAATTCCTATTCTAAGGAAATTCATGTAACTGCAAAAATATCTAGTTTGTGACACTCTAAACGCATTATCACCATGTTCTCAGAGAACTGTGCAACCAAGTTGTTTAGAAACTAAGTAACTTTTTTATGTCATTTAATAGTAACAATGGTTTTCACTCAGAGATTCCACTGCTCATCTATTGAAACCCAAGACAGACCAAATTTCCCCATCGGCTAGGGTGTCTGCACAAATTCTCACATTGCCTCAGACATCTCTGCACAGAATTATGCTTGCCATTTTTCAGCCAAAAGGAAATCAGCCCTAAAAAAATAGCTTCATTTGTCTACTCTTGTCTATCTATGACGTATACACAGGTCAGTTATCTAACGCACTAAAGTGC